ATATATATTGATTTCCATCAATAACTTTCACTGTGTTGATTTTATACATCTTTCATACTTCAGGCCAAGGTTGTTTTAAGGCTACTCTTTCATTTTTTGTGATATTGCCATTATAGTTGACTAATAACAAGGACGTTAATTAATCGATTATCATTAATGTATAATTTCTCCCACAAAACATGAGAGGGCTCTGTTATATTATTTGAGATACACAGAATTGTCAATAGTGTTACTAGAGAGACTTTGACACATTAGTTTTCGTGCAGACAAAGTGCTGTATACAGATTTTGGCTTTTCGCTGTGCAAGATTTAAAAATTGGAAAGAATTTTCATGTTTTGTTTTTTTTTTTCTACAGGAGATTGAGAGACATTTATTTGACAATTTGAAATCTTTGCTTTTTTCCGACTTGGGATTTTAAGCTAAAAATTTTTAAAAAATAAATTGTACTCGCAGAATCATTTTTTTTAAATTCCTGTTCCTTTTTAAAGGTTCTAACTTTTTTGCTCGCGGATCGAGCAGCAAATTCGTAGGTGGATGTGGGGGTGTTGAAATTATTTACCCCATACTTCATGATTTCAAATGAGTGACTAAATATACTGACCACTTTATTTACACCCCCCCCCCGAATATAGTACATGTAGTTGAAAAATATCTCTAACGGACGCTGGATTGTAGAAATACAGAGTTGTCAACTATGTAATAAAGCAAGTAACATTTTTATATCAAAACAAAACAAAAACAAAAACCAGCCATGGTGTAAGAAGTGGAAAAAACCGTGAAAATTACAGCCTGTAGAATATTTTTATGTACAGCAAATATATATATAATATACGATACATTTAGTGATGTATTGCTTTAGCGGAAGCTGTGTTCATGGTAAATTATACTGTGTGCAGCACAAAATAGCTGTAGAAGGTATGGCCAGAATCACAATTTGAATAAAATGAATTCAGGATCCATTTCACCGGATCAAAAGAGTCAAGACAAATCCTTTCAAATCAATTACAATTTTAAAGGTAAATGTCAAAGTCAACAATACAATATGAGGTAAATGTCGAAGTCAAAAATCCAATCTGATATCGAATTTAATTATTTTTATTATTTTTTCTCTATTATTCCAAGCTCTCTGATTGGCTCAAACTTGGTCACATGATCAAGTATATTGCAGCATATAGACTTGTGTTACTATTTATAGATTATGAAATATGTTTTTAAAAATAAAAATAATCATCAATAAAAACAACAATAGTGATGACTTCACAATAGCTATTATGACTTGATGTTTCTAAAAAACTTATACTTCATCTCCTATTTATAATTGTGATGTTCTGAGACAATTTTGATAAAATGTAACAATGCCTTGAATAAGGATCTAGTCATGTACTTTATATTAAAACAGAGATGTTTTGGTAAATTGATATAATAAAATACAACAAATGTAGCCTTTTAAACTATTATATTCCTTTAATTACTCTATCAGTATAAAGGAAACACAATAACATTACACAACTTAATTTATTTTGATCTGTAGTCACTATGTGTTGAAAAAAGACAAGAGAGAAAACCTGTGGCTTGTTCCCATTATTTTCAAATTTTGTTTGTCAATCTCTGTAAAATGAAATATGAAGATAACGAACAGTATTCAATCTCGAAAGTCCAATGAAACGATACAAATTTGGAGCAGAGCAAACACGGACCTCAAAATTTAGAGTTGGGATCAGGTGCCATGGAGGAGTGAGCATCCCCTGCCGACCGGTCACACCTACCGTGTGCTCTTTGTGATGATCGGGAAACAAAAACCGAAAAAAAAAATCCGTAGTCAGTTCAGTGTATAAATAATGGCCTAACAATTAGTATGAAAAAGTCAGTCAGCATTTGACTCAATGATAGGTTGTATATATGTGCTGACAAAGTCATTGTATCGACCGAAAAACTTGCGAAAAGATGACATCATACAAGACTGTTGATATCCTTGTTTTGTCAACTTGTTTGTCAATGGCTTGTCTCGTTTTAGAATTTGTTCATACGTAAAGCAGGCTCTTGCGTATCGAATTAACTAAGAGACATAAACCCATATGCAGGTGATAAGGGTATATTGCTACATAAGTAAGGGAAGTTGACGATTGAAAAGTTGAAGTCATCACGTTTATCATAAAGCTTTGCTGTTAGGTTACCATTAACGTCTTTTTCTAGTATAATATCTAAATATGAAACAGATGTGTCAGAATATGTGATGTAGCCCTTTCATGAGGTCGATTCTTAGACATATCGACTCCACAGCACTTCGTGCAAGGTCGATATGCTTTTCTGTGAAGTTGATATATCTATGCATCGACCTCATGAAAGGGCTATATTTGTATAATAGCTTCCTTAGATATGTACATCATGTTGAATTAAAAAAAAAACGGGTTTTTCTGCAGTTGTATTTTTATTTTTGGCGTTTCGACCCCTTCATATTATAAGAAGCAATTCCCACGGTTGCATTAGATCACAAAATTTATTCATGAGAAATGATTAGATGTTTAGAATTTTACAGAACACTGCCGTGTAATTAGGATTTAGCAGAAGCTGAACACTACCATGTTTTACTTTAACATATTTTTAGATTCAGTGACATGTTGACGTTGTTCACAATGCAGTAGAATTGAATCTTTCCGTTACAGTACGTGAATTATTTCTACGGTCTTTGTGGTGGCAGCAGTATTTCAATCAAAGTTGTCTTTTACACAAATGATGTACCTGCCGAGAATTATTAATTAAAGCTTCACCGTGTTTCATATTAATTCCACGATAAACAAGATAAACATTACCACAGAGAAGAGACAGAAACCCGCATCCACGACACCTGCATTCTGCTACTTGATTTCAATAGGAGGCTTGCCAATACCATTCCCGCATTCTGTACATTACATACAGCACTTCCTATTAATATTTGTTAAACTGATAAAGGTTTTATTTTTACATATTCAACGGCATAACCAACAATAGATATGGATGGCAACTTCTCTAATGTTTCCGATGTTCCAGATCATCTGAAATTTAACGACAATAATGCATACACCATTATTTCCTTAGGCTCAATGTTTCTTGTCGGTGCTTTGGGAAATATTGCCTTTTTTGTCACTCTTTTTAGCAGTGAAAAACGAAAGTCCCCCACCAATTTTTTTCTACTACATTTGTCGTCGGCGAACTTGATGGTGATGTTCGTAATACCTGTTGGAGAAATGATTCTAAACGCCACTGTGGTTTGGAAAGGAGGTACTTTTCTGTGCAAATTATACAAATTTCTTTGGAGCTTTGGACAGTATACTACCATTTTTCTATTGTGCTGTATCAGTATTGACCGTTTTCTGGCTTTCGTTTTTCCCCTGAGGTCAATCACACAATCTCCACGGACCAGATCCCTAATGGCGGCGTCTGCGTGGCTTGTCAGTGCCTTTCTCGCCATACCCGAGGTAAGATCTTGCTAATGGATTTTCCTCTGTTTTAAATACTGTTCTATTTCCACATTCAAAGTGTCTCTGAATTTTGAGAAAATAACGAGCTACTAAAGTTATAACTTGCTGTACAGATCGAATTTAGGTCAAAGAAACTAAAAATTTCCAATTAGTACTTATTTTTCAAGTTGAAGCTTATGCTTCTTTTCTTCTTGCATGGAAATCATGCTTTGTCGACAAGTGCATTGCATAGATACTTCATTATACCTCAAATAAATTAATGAAATCATTTTAAAAGGATAAGATATGTTTTCTTGAGAACGTTTTTATTGAGTTAAAAATGTTTGTGTATTATACAGAGCAGAATTGCAATTTTAATGAATTTTATACGAGGCTAGGTATACTAGAGAACAAATGCATTAACTGACATATTATCTGGACTATATTGAAATAATATTAGCTAGTAACATTTCAAACTTATTTTTTCATCCACTACATGTACATGTGTGTGAGAGGGTGTATGTATGTGTGAGGGTGTGTGTTTTTTTCTTGAGGTTCTTTTAAAGACGACATTATGTATCTGTAAAAGAAGAGGAATATAAAGTGAAACCAAAAAAAAAAAAGAAAAGAAATACCCGTCGTAATACAATTAGAGAAATACAATAAAAAAGAGAATTTTTCTACACTTTAAATTCTAACAAAAGGTCGACATTTCAGGCCAGCTTTCTTTTTTTTTCCTGCTAGCATCTAGTCTACAACCTCACTGTGACATAGCTCCTAGCAAAATTAACGTTATAGAGAGGCCGAAGACCGTCCACTCTGTGAGAAAAGGAACAGATGCGGTCCTATGGCCATCGATCCGTTCTTTTACTCACATAATGGACACGTTGAGGTGTTTCTCTTTCTTAAAACTTTATCTTCATTATCAGTTGAGAATAGGCAACCTTATTGTTTTGCTAGATCTTGAAATAATCTAATAAAGTTAACTGTAGTAAATGCCCATTTTCTTGGGGAAAAGAACCTGCCCATTCTTTCTATCAATGAACAGGTTTTTAAAATGTCAGTTCGGACAGATTGGGGAGTACCAAATAAAGAATGTATCCGTGAGGGAACAAAACCCAAATTCATTCGATACAACATTTAATTTACATAAAACTTGAATTCAAAAGAAAATAAATTACCAGAATTATTTCAAATTTCAGTTTCCGTATTTCCACCCCGTGGTGAAACTTTCACCTGTTTCTTCTTATTTGACTCCTGTGCATTACAAGTTTTCACGTTTACATGAATCTTGTTGTTTACCATCATTTGGGTGTAGAATCTGGTTCATATAATCTGGTTGCCGTGGTAACATTTAAAGAATACTTTTGTAAAATGTCTTTCAAATCTTGCTTTGACACCATTAGCTGTGTTGAATATGCTACTTAAGTTATGATTCATTTTACTTTATCATTTATGTCTCTCGTACATTTACTAGATGTAGTATCTTTAAATTGAAAAGGTTTTTCTTACTAATACTGCAATGTACAATTGTAAGTAAATATTTCAAATGTTTGTTGCGATTAGCTACATGAATGTGGTAGGGACATTGTGAAGTTGGCCACAATCTCAATACTACCAAAGAGATCAATTCCAGAAAGTGGGTTAGTACGGAAACGATAGTCAGGAAAGAAGTTGTTCAATAGAGAGGGGGTAAATGTCATACTAAGCACAGCAGCTGGACGTATCCGGGCAGAACCGAAGTCGTAATGATGTTGGGCACATGTCTCTAGACCTCTTCCCCCAAACCATGTAAGGTTTGCAACGTCTTTGTAGACCTGAAATTCTGGCATTGCAGAAGCAGTAAACCATGTGATATTTGAAGAGAACTGTGATGAAAACTTCGCCCCATTTTTGGATATCGTATACGAGTGATTTGTCATCTTCATTGTTGCTTTGGTTGCATTTAACTTGTAAGCTACACCCGAAGAAATACTGTTGATTTCGCTGTCTTCGTATAACACAGCCTTATAGTTAAGAGGATCACCGCCTGTTTTTCGCTGCACAAACGGAATATCAAACTTGTATTCCAGGAAGTTACTTCGTAACCAGGGAGGGAAAACGAGCCCACAATCCAATTCGCGACCTATTTCCATCAGAATCGGATGTTTGTTTTCAGGCCATGTTGTCCATGTTGGTTTCATCAACACAATGTCGTGTAGAGTGTTAATGTCTGGAAATACACAAATATAATCTTTTTTTTTTTTAAATTCTACTTAGATTTATAGGGACAGCGTAGTAGATTATAATTGACAATATGGTGAATCGCGTCCCGATAAGGATAGATGAATATCCGGATTGGGAAATACTTCAATAAAAGCAATATTCTGTGCATTTGGACATCGAACCGAACGGGATCACTCGAATTTTTGACAGTTTCAAAATAATGGGTGTAAATATAGTGTAGCAAATATTAAAATTGAACAGGTTTAATTTGCTCTTTATGTGGTATTAAATTTGTGCAAAGAACTCTTTGGGATACCCTGATTTTTTTTTTTCACACCTATCCTATTTGATATGTAAATAAGCTAAATACGTGTCACTTTATTCCATACCTTTCTTAAAATGCGTATGACTGACATTACAATTTTTACATTACATTTGTTTTGCTCTATCATTGGATAACGGATGTCATGTGCCTGTAGTCTGTATTTCTCTGGACGGCGAACACACACAATATAACACCGACGCATACATTAGGCGAACGAACAAGTATGTGTATATGAGAGTAGCCAAAATTTAGACGGCAGCATGGCGGATCAAAACTACAAAATGTCATCCGTACACTGAAAACTTATGCTTTACGTTATTTTTCGTTTAAAAAAAAATCCAAGGGACAGCCCTCATCTCTATACTACATACTTGCATGCCTGTGCACTATGGCCCAAGAAATTGCAAATCAAACTAGATACTGCCCTCTACACAACATGAATCTCTTCCACTTACCCACCACCCCGGCCATCATTCTATTATCTGGAGAAAATGTCTTTGATATTATGCAAAACATCTCTTATGTGACGGTTAACATTATATACGATAAGGAATACATACAGGATATTGTGGTTGGTTATGGGGATGACAATATTTTTATGCCCCTGAAATCGAAGATTCGGGGTATATAGTTTTTGCCTTTTCCGCCCGTCTCTCTGTCTGTTTGTCCGCAAAAACTTTAACATTAACTTTTGATTGGTTGGAGCTATGGTTTTCATATTTCACAAGTGTATTCCTTGTTATAAGACCTTCCTTTGAGTACCAACATATTTGACCTCTTGACGTTGACCTTGGAGTTTGACTCACTTTTGCAGAAATTTACCCTACTTTTACCTTGGCCATAACTTTCGAACAGTTGGTGCTAGGGCTATCATATTTCATATTGTGTATTTAACGTGACAAGACCTTTCTAAGGGGGTGTAAATATATTTTGACCTTTTGACCTTAACCTTAGAGTTTGACCCACTTAAAAAAACGCACTTTAATCTTGGCCATAACTTATGAACAGTTACCTCTAGGACTTTCAAATTTAACAGGTATATTTCTTGTGGGAGGACCTTCCTTTGGATACCAACAATTTTGACCTTGGAATCTGACCTACTCTTGAAAAACTTTATTCTTTGCCATAACTTTGAACAACTGGTGCTAGGACTTTTATATTTTGAATGTATATTTCTTATGACGAAGTTTCCTCCTGTGTACCATTAATTTTGACCTTAGAGTTTGACCCACTTTTAGAAAACATTAACCTTGACGATAACTTTTGAATGGTTGGTGCTTGGGCTTTCATATACCAGGTATATCCATTGCGAAAAGTCCTTTATTTGGGTAACAACATTTTGATCTCTTGATCTTGACCTTGGAGTTTGACTTGCATTTGAGAAATTTTAACCTTCGCCTTAAGCTGCCATACGCGGACATCAGTGTTTCAGTCACAAGCACATCTTGTTGACATTTTTGCAGAGAGAAGCAAGCTAAGAGTGAAAACATTAAAACATCTCGTCTCACGTGAAATAAATTCCATATCAAACAACAGAATATGGAATTTTATGTTTATTACATTTTCTTTGTTTCCTTTTGCCTCTGTGTTTTAGTAACTCAATGTCGTAAGCTGCGTCGTCATGGTTGAACGATTGTGAGAGTCATAGCGAAGCGATTGTGATATTGAAAATTGTTAATTGCACCAATTCGGAGAAACTGGAGGGTTTGTTCCGTGTCAAAATGGTACATTTACACTCGCTATTTGTTACATCCAAAACGTTCAATAATTATTACAAACAGATTCTACAATGCCTAGATATTGTCCATCTGAAACATTGAAATGATAGTATGTAGTCTTTGGCAATCAGTCTATCAACAATATGTTGGAATTTCGATGAGATCTAATTGTGCTCCTTTATTAGCCGACCTGTTTTTATGTTCTTTAAATTATAAACAGAATTGAAAAACTTCTACATGATAAGATGAAAACTCTTGTTGTGGCTTTCAATTCAACATGTCGATGTATTGACGACGTTTTTGATTAATTAACAATAGTTATGACAATAGTTATAGTTAATAGTACAGCCGCAAAAAATAAAGTTACGTGTAAAAATATAGTACTTACTCTAACCGCTTCTTTAAATGACACAAACGCTAAATAACAAAAATGAAATGAGGCTTTTTCTATACAGGTAAACGTCAATGATAATGAATTTGAAAATTACAGTCTTTTGAAGAACAGCTTGATTCATATGCATAAGGTTTTTTGATGGTCAGTGTTGTCGTACCCTAGGTTCTCTAGACGACGAAGAAAAACAGGGCAGGAAACCAGACTGGTCAGTTTGTTTACCTTTGGCGGTGCCAGATTAACTCTGATCCTGAATAATCCGTGGTATAATGTCCCAATTATATATAAATTTGGTGTATCATTTAGATTTATACTGATTTGTATAAAATTATAATTTTCAACATTCTTTTTTTTATTTTTTCCATATAAGATGTCACTGAAGCCCTTATTCTTATTATAGTCTGTCCCACCAAGCTATTGTCACCACTTTTTGCAACATATCTCAAAATATATAAATACCTTGGCCTTCAGCCTAGGTCCGATCGATAGATCATTTTTTTTCCAATTTTCCTCCATTTATCCGAACCCTCGAGTTCAACCAGTGTATTGACACGGCGGCAAATTCAAAGTCTACGGGGATTTAACATTGCCAAAATGGCCGTCACTTCGGAAGGGGATCCATCATTATTCGTGGATTTCCGTACTTTACCGTCATTGACGTAATGACGTAACACACTTTCGGAAATTCTCTGCACTTACGGACGTCCGGAAAAGCATACCGCCCGAGACTTACCAAGCACATAATACACGTGTATTTTAAAATTAGTGATAAAATACGGAGTTTTAAGCATACATTGCATATCAACTGACAGAAGAAGTTTAAAAGAGCTAAACACTGCGACCCATTTGAATTCATATACTCAAGGATTCGTAAGTTTGAATGTTAAAAACATTCGAGGCTGCAAAATATAAGAGTGCCATGACTGCTTTGCCAAAACATGTAAGCGAATACGTTCTACAGAGTGTAAATGTAAACAAAATCTACAACTTTACCTTGCACTTATTCTCTTTAGAGAAGTGGACAGGCTTTCGCCTACATCCACTTCTCTTCGCAAGCCTTCATGTTTTGATTCTGGAAAACGTTTAAATCTCGAACCGGTGACGGTCTACACTTCAACTGATATTTCGTCTGAAATACGTCTGAATGTACGTAATAGACGTGTTATATTAACAATTTTAACATAAATACACACAACTGTCACAAGAAAACTGACCTTTAAGTATTGTTAATCCATTTTCACAAGTTCTCCATCCCGGATTTAAACTAATGTTTTTCTACCACAGCTTATTAGAAAAAATTGAAAATTTTAAGTCGGATAATTTGGAAAAATTGGCGAAGACGTATTTTAATGTTCAAAAAAAGTTTTTGACAATTCACTTTTGATTTAACATACCATTCAAAATTAATATTATTACCTTTACTTATTTTTACTATTTTAATACAATTCAAATGTAAATTTGAGCTTAAAAAATACTTCATTACTTCCTCACTGACAAAACTAAAAAATATTTTCTTTTATTTTTAAACGATATTAACTCTACCTTTCCCGAGAAATGAAATAAAGATTTAAAACAAAGATCAAAAGAATTTGAACGAAACTTGAGGAAATACTGTCTCGTTAGTGTAAACAGAGTAGACGATTTCTCTCGTTTCATTATTATTTTGTAAAAATAGTTTCCATTTTTATCCGAATTAAAGATTTATGAATACTTCAAGAGTTACTTGCACATAATTTAAATCCGGGATGGAGAACTTGTGAAAATGGATTAACAATACTTAAAGGTCAGTTTTCTTGTGACAATTGTGTGTATTTATGTTAAAATTGTTAATATAACACGTCTATTACGTACATTCAGACGTATTTCAGACGAAATATCAGTTGAAGTGTAGACCGTCACCGGTTCGAGATTTACACGTTTTCCAGAATCAAAACATGAAGGCTTGCGAAGAGAAGTGGATGTAGGCGAAAGCCTGTCCACTTCTCTAAAGAGAATACCTTGCACTGAGTAAATCCCAAACACAATATATATATATAGTTCAATGTAAACACGATTAAACATCTTGTCACTCCTATACATGTCCCGTAAGTGCACTTCCTGGATTTATATACTTATAACACTTATCACACCATATATATCCACCTTTGTTAATACTTTTTGAATCTTTGTGCAAAACAAGACTTGTAGTCTGCATCAAACTACGTCACCAGTGGATTTTGACCTTGCCCTTCGAAAACTTCCTGTATCGGCATTAGGTAAATCCGGGCCCTGAGATTTTAAACATTTTATATCAAGTCTTTCCATTAATAAATGCCAGAATACCAAAGATCAAGGACACACTCAAACATGTATGGAATACATTTTATATATTTTTTTTTATTATGTCTGTAGATTTTGCATGAATATGAACTTTTAAAATATAACCAGGGATCTCTACTAACTATTAAAGTATATAGGTCCCTGATATATAACACACACTTTTTAAAAAAAAAAATGCATATTTGCAGGAAATATAAATTCTTGTCGAATCCCTCTCATTTTATTTTTTCCAAACATTAAGAAAAAAAAAATAA